TCCCTTTTTATAAAACTAATTATAATGGATCCTTACTTGTAATTATGTGAGTCAAATTAGTCCCTTCCGTTAAATATAGGCAAACGGAGTTAATGGGCTGATGATGTGGCAGTAGTCACTGATTAGGTGTCTAACACGTAATTGTGTGCGTGCTTACGTGGTGTCTAACATGTGTCCTCTCAGGTTCATTCTTGTATTCTTGTCGGCAACTCTTGCCGGTTTCTTGGTTCTCAGAAACTTCAGATCTCAACCTCACATCACTAACACTGAGTTGGATGCAAACAATGAAAACAATGAAAACAATGAACACACCCTAACCTTAAAGAATGCAACTTCCAAGGTACAAAGAGGGCCATTTTTCACTTCTTTCTGTTTATGCTTTAGATTTTACAAAAATGTTGTCTTCTCATATACTGTATTGGTAAGTCTACAGGTTCGTGATGTATTGCAATATGGATTCTGGACTTGCATAAATATTCAAACTCAACATCTGTCAAATTTGAGACTCTATGTATTACAATAAGGTCATGGCATTGTAAAGAACAAGAAAATATACAGGCACAACATCATTTACAATGGCATTTCATATTCTTAATGCACAAAGGTTTGAGGCACTGGAAACTAAGAAATTTTGTTTTTGGGACTGAGATTGTTGTTGCTGCAGTTGCTCCAACTGTTGTGATTACTGTTGTTGGTCACCTTGCCATACCCAAACAATATCTTTAAGAGCAGGCCTTATGTCTTCTTTCAGTATTTTCTCATATTCTAGCGTATCTCCATTTGATTTCTTCACCTCCACCAAGTGCAGAAGTGGAGTAGTAACCTCAAAGATTTCTACATCAATGGATAAGATCCCCTTCCTACCTTCATGAAGGCTCTCCAATTTCAACAAACCGGCAGCCCTTTTCTTTATTTTCATCTTCAGCCGATTTGTAATTTCTTGCAGCCTGAAGATGATGAGAGATGCTGGTTCCCTCGTTACTACTCACCCGTAACCGCCCCTCTCTGCTCATCATCCCCAACCACACTTCCCTTTCGCTCCCGATTCACCATTCTTCTCCGATGGCTGCCACCACAATCCCCAATCCCAACCCCCACAGATGCTGAGACGCTAACAATGGTCCACTCAAATGCACAACCAAGCACCCTCATCGTCAAGGGCTGTCGCCTCTGATCAGCGCCATCAGTAGCAGGTCCCCGCTCCTCTCGCCACTAGCACAACTCCGATCGCCATCACTCCACTCTGAAGCCACCGAACCACCATCTTCTACCTCTGCGTATCTTTGTCCCCGCCGCTCCTTCCTCCAGCCCTCCACCGTCCTCCGTCGCACACTCTCTACCACAACTCACCGCCGCCCTCACCATGGCTCTCGCCTCCCTCAGCAACAGCGCCCCCAAGCAGAACGCCGAGATCGGTAGAGGGTGGTGTCGCAATGGCCAATTCGAAGAAGCAGTGGTCTGCGGTGGCCGGTTGGGTGAAGTTTGAGGCATGGCCGTGGGTGACAGAGGACGGAGGACGCACACAATTAAATAAACCCAATTTTAAAATCAGCTGCCCTAACCCTAACACCACGTAAGCACGCACACAATTACGTGTTAGACACCTAACCAGTGACTACTGCCACATCATCAGCCCATTAACTCCGTTTGCCTATATTTAACGGAAGGGACTAATTTAACTCACATAATTACAAGTAAGGATCCATTACAATTAGTTTTATAAAAAGGGACTAAATTGAGATTTCCGAACCAAACTGGGGACAAAATTGGGTATTAAACCTNAAAGAAGGCCTTTTGGCAACTAGAGAAAAAGTATCACCGTATTCCAACTCGAAAATTTCAGTATAGCCTTTTATCTAACAACCAAGAGAATATGTTAATGACAAAACCAAGACCATGAGTAAAACACGTAGAACCAAAGACCAAAGACAATAAAGGATGAATGGAGTGGTGAGCATATAGAACTTCATGAGGGATTTTATCTTTCAGGATTGAGGAAGGTATGTGTTTGATATGATAATGTTACGTACCTGAGTACGTAAACTAACCAAATACAACCTTTCACACTCGTAACAGAACAATAAACGAATGATATTGGATGAATGAATCTCTTTTATTGATGGTAATATCTGAATAAACAAGGGTAAACAATAATTGGGAGCATAACCTCCCTCACAAGACAATAATGTCTGTCACAAAACTCAATAATCAAAAGCATGTCTTTAACCCTAGACTCTAACTTTATTTATATTAATTATTTCCCGCCAATCTCTTATTAAATATTTCTCTAGAATATATCTGCATTTAATATAAATATCCTTATATTTAATATTTAATATAAATATCCCTATATTTAATATAAATATCTCTCCTAATATTATCCTAGCATATATCCTTAATTATAAATATCTTATATTGAATATTTCCCTAAGTATATATTTATTTACTCTAATTAACTTATACTATATTTATTTACTCTAATTAACTTATACTAAATATTCTCTCTGCTCATATACTTTCCAACCCTTATTATTACCCCTACCTTAGATCGTAACAGATAACATGCAGTAAGTACAACATCACCCCAAAACTAATGAGGAACATGAGAGGGGAAAAGATGAGTTAGTGTGGTTTCAAGAAGATGTTTGATTTTTGTTCAATGGCCTTATTTTGTTGGAAGGCACAGGGATTAAATGTTTTACACAACACAAGAGATGTCATAAAGCTCTAGATATTGACTTTTGATTTCATGCAAAAAGGATAAACATAGAAAAAATATGACTTAGGCCCCAAACATCTAAGTTGACTAAAACAAAAGGAGACAACCTAACTAAGTGCAACAAGGAAAAAAAAATCTATGAATAGGATTACCTAATTGACTTGACTCACAAAACAAAGATTCTAACACGGAAAGACTAGTGTTAATTGTTTCAACTTATCAATATTTGGATGTTCTACCTAAGCCTGAATCAAGCATGAGGATGTTGCCACTGATCCAATAATAGAAAGTATTTTTAGCTAATAAAGGCTACGAGACTTGCATCCAGAGCCAATTGTCAACCCTGCCCTTTAATCCTACAAGCAAATAGAATCTTCAGTAAAACATAAGACAAGATCAAGAGACCTTGTAAGTTTACTAATGAACAATAAATTAAAAGGAGACCCCAAAAACATAAAGAATATTATGAATATATAAAGAAAGGGAAGAGGATGGTCAATACAAACACCTCAGGACTATTTTTGAGATCCATTTGTGACAAAGAGATGGAAAAAGGATTTATTATCAATTACAAGATTGGTGGACCCAAAATCAAGGACGCAGGGGCCTAAAGAGTGAGAGATGCCAACAGATGAATTACCAGTATGACCAACAAAAGCAGTGGAACTAAAGGCCTAATTGTACCCATGATATCAAAGGAAATCATTAAAGATTGTAAATTGTACTTTGTAAGCAAAAGATATTTTGCAGGAGCAAACTATGCAAGAGAATCTATAGTAGAATTTACCACATAAGTTGTTCTAGGGGTCAACCATGTTGAGAATAATAGTGATCATTGATGCGACCAATTTTGTGGTAACAGTCACTTGAATCGTGACCTACGAACGTCATTGTTTTTGCGAGTGTGACCATGATCACATACCTATGAGATCATGGCTGAAAAACTAAAACAGATAGATGGTACAAAGGTCAAACTCACTATAAGTGTTGCTTTAGTAGGAATTCAAGCAAAGACAAGGCAACAGGAGGAGATCCTAAAATCTAGTCCCAAACCTAAGAGTACTTTGCATGTAAGCCATATAAAGTAGTAAATCGAGAAGGACAAAACGATTCCCCAATTGCCAGGGGTCACATCAAGAGGCAGAAGTTCATTAAAATCATGTAAAGCACTTATACGACCCAGATAGTTCAACATGGTTCCATCAAGTGTCTTTGTCAGAATCGCATCCATGGGGTGTTGGCATACCCTATAGAATTTTTTTTTGTATTAGTGTAAATTGACTTGGTCTGTGTCCAAACTAATTCAAATGTATTGTGGAAGCAGAAAATCTGTTTAACGGAGAAATGAAAATAGTTGACTTGATGACCCAACAAAGTTGAGCACACATATCCCTGCAATTAGGGCTGTCAGGTTCCACCAGTGTCTTCTTTAATGGTAAGATGTGGTCAAGATAACCTTGACTCATGAGCCAAATTTTGATGACTAAGGCCCAAAAATCATAGTTATTGTCATCCAACATGTCAGTAGAATAGCAGGGAAGTGACAAAGTTGGTGAAAAGATGCATCGGATTTCAGAGTCGTCATGGATAGACCTCGGGGAGAGAGAAAAACAGTCCAGCAGTGTGGAAAACAGTCCAACATAGAATAACCAGCCAAAAACAGAGAATAGCTAGTTAAATAAAGAATAGCCAACTATCGACCAAATGGTGCTAGAATGGAAGAAAGACCACAAATCCAAAACTAAAATTGTGAGCAGAGTCTGATCACAAAAGTATTTGTTCAAAAGCTCATCGGAGGTGTCGTCATGTGCAATGGAGGTGGTGGCAAAGATGTGAACAGTCAAGAGTGGGGTTTAGGCATGTGAACCACCCAATGGAAGAACAATTGTTAAGGTTGGTTATCATAAGGCAAGGTGGTCAACAGCCAGAAACAGCTCAATGAACCAACAGGGAATGTTAATGACGATGGTGAACTATGAAATACAGCATAGAAAAAAACATAAACCGAAAAACATAGTTTCTAAAAATTTACCCCTATGAGCAATAAGCCCGTAGGGAAAGCATATATTAGAGTTCCCTTCTTGTTAGGCTCTTGACACCAAGTTGAGAAGAGAGGAACTGAGAAAGCATATGACAAATTTCATGTGTTTAGACCATAGTGAAGATATTCAATTTATAAAGGAGACACAAAACAGAATATTCAATTAATAACACAGATATAGAATCAATCTACTTGATCTTAATATCATTAATTGACTTTAATATCATCAATTGCTATACTTATAGGATTATAACATATCTACAACATTCTAACATAAACAAAAGAATATCAAACCTTTTCTAAGATCTCGAGGCCTTATGCCACTGATTTTAGTACGGAAGTCAACAACCCGTTCCATTGGCCGAACAAACTCGTCATAAATAACATTTCCCCACTTATTGACCTGCCATCAACTGAACCAATATTAGAAATAAAAGACTTAACAAGGCAAGGGGAGATGAGCATATTAATGACAATTGTAAAAATTACTTATGCCAAAGAAAATTGGAAGTCAGTGTTAAGTTGTTTACTGTCTGGTTCGGAATTATCAAGGAACATGGGAGAGTACAATGGAAGGCCAAAATTCTGCCATAAAGCTTGTCATTGTGGCTTATGGCATCACCATAGTAGGCCAACCTTCCCAAATTGTGAATCAGTCGGCAAAATATCTGCCATGCCAGTCCACCATGGTGGCCATGGCACCACCCTTTAACAACATTGGTTTGGTTTTTCAGTTAAAAGTGAAATTATAGTTCCACTATGTAGGAGCAGTTCAGTCTTAAAGTTATGAATTATTACATATTAAAGTTAGGATTGATTAGGTTTCAAATATATACCGGATGTAATGTTCTGGTGCTTTCAATCTAATCTTTTATGTATGAAAAATAGCTCCCTAAAAAAATTCACAAAATAATTTTAAAATGTTATCAAGTATGGGTTCTGCATTGCATGGATATTAATAGTGAGATTTCATTCAACTAATTCCTAACTAACCCTCGCACAGTTGCACTTAAACGTGTTCATATAAGGTGATAAAATACAAGAAACACGTTCCTGCAGCCCAATACAGTAGACAAGAGACTCAAAGAAAGTCTGGGAGAAGACAGTCAATGATGACATATGTCCAAATAACATCTAATCTATTTTTTATTGGGTCTCTCACAAGGTTTGGCTCTGCCGACACCCTTTGGGAGTTAGACTAATTTCCACTTAAAGAGTCTGATGGTGTAGCCCAAGACATTTGGGACTTCCAGTGGGATTCAAAACCTTCCACTGCAGGTGAAGTCCACTCATGTGGAGCTCACATCAATTGAGCAACACCTCATGATTAAAATTACAGACAACCTAAGTATATATAACTATGATATTGCTTCAGGCAAAAGCATGTTAGTCTACAAAATCGTGAACATTATGTTGGGAATGAAAAAGTAAAATGCAACACTAATCCATAGTTCATAAACCATAGATCGGCTTCCGATGAAAAGGAAAAAATTAAGTTACTAGTTCATATTCGCCAATCAAACATTCCTTGTACTTTGTAGTGACATGAATAAATCAACGTAGTAACATGGGGAGGAAAAATCTTAAGATAATAATAATCAGAAGATGAAGTGGAACAACTTAATACCAGAGTTACTCTTCCAAGAGCACTTTTGTTTCCTTGACCAACGCCAACCATTTCACAATCCATGGCCACTGCATCTGTCAGACTGCCAAATGGTTAATAAGTTAAAGGATATTGAACTCTAAAATGAGCAGAAAGCTCCATAATAACATAGCACGCCTGGATAGGATTAACAAATTCAATACAAGAAAAAGCAAGTTCTAACTCAAAATAATCAAGTATTAAACTCGCGTTCAGTTAATCATATAGATACAACTCAAATTCCCTCACGCATACACGAAACAATATAAGACTACAAAAAGTAACCCATAAAAATTCACGGCAGTCACCTTGAATCATCATTTACAGGAGTAAGAGGATTAATCTGACTATCATTGGATTCCTCGTCTGGTCTCTCTTTACGTTTCCCTGTAAGAGAAAAAAATAAACAAAGTCACACACGGCTACATTATTTTCAAGGGTTCACACCTCTTATACCAAAACAATTCAATCCCAGAAGCAAAAATCATTTTTTTTTACCCAATATTGATTCCGGGGTAACTTTGTCTGAATTTTTGAAGGTCCTTGAAGCCTTGGAGTCATTCAGCTTCTGCACATTTAAAAACAACAATAAAATGAGGTAGAGACATGAGTGTGTCGAATAGAAGGTAGAAAGAAGAAGATAGAAGAGGCACTTGTTGTAGTTGAAGCCAATTGGGATTCAACTGAGTTTGCTTCGGTTTCTTCATGTGTTCGCCGCAACTGTGCGTCGTCCGCGCGTTTACAATCAGGGTTTCAGCGTTCTAAAGTCTCAACTTCAAACAAAAGAATGAAAATAAGTGGCACCTACAAATTATATTACCTCAACCATCTTAAATTAGATTTTTATATGATAAATTTTAATGTGATTTTAATACTCAAAATTATATTCAAATTCATTTTTGTTATTTTTTTTTCGTAACTACATCTTTTTAATTTAAAATTATTAGTTTTTCTAAAGGTTTAATACCCAATTTTGTCCCCAGTTTGGTTCGGAAATCTCAATTTAGTCCCTTTTTATAAAACTAATTATAATGGATCCTTACTTGTAATTATGTGAGTCAAATTAGTCCCTTCCGTTAAATATAGGCAAACGGAGTTAATGGGCTGATGATGTGGCAGTAGTCACTGATTAGGTGTCTAACACGTAATTGTGTGCGTGCTTACGTGGTGTCTAACATGTGTCCTCTCAGGTTCATTCTTGTATTCTTGTCGGCAACTCTTGCCGGTTTCTTGGTTCTCAGAAACTTCAGATCTCAACCTCACATCACTAACACTGAGTTGGATGCAAACAATGAAAACAATGAAAACAATGAACACACCCTAACCTTAAAGAATGCAACTTCCAAGGTACAAAGAGGGCCATTTTTCACTTCTTTCTGTTTATGCTTTAGATTTTACAAAAATGTTGTCTTCTCATATACTGTATTGGTAAGTCTACAGGTTCGTGATGTATTGCAATATGGATTCTGGACTTGCATAAATATTCAAACTCAACATCTGTCAAATTTGAGACTCTATGTATTACAATAAGGTCATGGCATTGTAAAGAACAAGAAAATATACAGGCACAACATCATTTACAATGGCATTTCATATTCTTAATGCACAAAGGTTTGAGGCACTGGAAACTAAGAAATTTTGTTTTTGGGACTGAGATTGTTGTTGCTGCAGTTGCTCCAACTGTTGTGATTACTGTTGTTGGTCACCTTGCCATACCCAAACAATATCTTTAAGAGCAGGCCTTATGTCTTCTTTCAGTATTTTCTCATATTCTAGCGTATCTCCATTTGATTTCTTCACCTCCACCAAGTGCAGAAGTGGAGTAGTAACCTCAAAGATTTCTACATCAATGGATAAGATCCCCTTCCTACCTTCATGAAGGCTCTCCAATTTCAACAAACCGGCAGCCCTTTTCTTTATTTTCATCTTCAGCCGATTTGTAATTTCTTGCAGCCTGAAGATGATGAGAGATGCTGGTTCCCTCGTTACTACTCACCCGTAACCGCCCCTCTCTGCTCATCATCCCCAACCACACTTCCCTTTCGCTCCCGATTCACCATTCTTCTCCGATGGCTGCCACCACAATCCCCAATCCCAACCCCCACAGATGCTGAGACGCTAACAATGGTCCACTCAAATGCACAACCAAGCACCCTCATTGTCAAGGGTTGTCGCCTCTGATCAGCGCCATCAGTAGCAGGTCCCCGCTCCTCTCGCCACTAGCACAACTCCGATCGCCATCACTCCACTCTGAAGCCACCGAACCACCATCTTCTACCTCTGCGTATCTTTGTCCCCGCCGCTCCTTCCTCCAGCCCTCCACCGTCCTCCGTCGCACACTCTCTACCACAACTCACCGCCGCCCTCACCATGGCTCTCGCCTCCCTCAGCAACAGCGCCCCCAAGCAGAACGCCGAGATCGGTAGAGGGTGGTGTCGCAATGGCCAATTCGAAGAAGCAGTGGTCTGCGGTGGCCGGTTGGGTGAAGTTTGAGGCATGGCCGTGGGTGACAGAGGACGGAGGACGCACACAATTAAATAAACCCAATTTTAAAATCAGCTGCCCTAACCCTAACACCACGTAAGCACGCACACAATTACGTGTTAGACACCTAACCAGTGACTACTGCCACATCATCAGCCCATTAACTCCGTTTGCCTATATTTAACGGAAGGGACTAATTTAACTCACATAATTACAAGTAAGGATCCATTAAAATTAATTTTATAAAAAGAGACTAAATTGAGATTTCCGAACCAAACTGGGGACAAAATTGGGTATTAAACCTTTTCTAAATGTGTTTTATACCAGATAAATATTTGAGTAAATGAAATTAGGTTTAACTAAGCTTCAAGTTTTTGATAAATTTGTAAATTTTAATTAAGTCTTTATTAAATTTGTATGATACATTCAATATTAAAAACTTATATTCTTTTAATTGAGTTTTTGGCATTTAACTTCTATGTTAATAGTGTGATTTGTTTTTTTTTGTTCTCTTTTATAATTTTATAATTTTGTATTTATTTATCAAACAAATATTGATCATCACGTTGCTTTCTTATGTTATATAACATCCCAAAAATACAGTTTGAAACTATATAATAGAATAATCACATTTAATAATATACAGATCAGTCTTACACTATGAAGAGCGTACGGTTATGGCCGAACGGCCTTACAAAGCAGTACGAGAAAAATAAAACTCTACAAGGGTACAATTCTGACCGAACGGTTTAAAAAAAAAACAATATCGAACGGTCATACTAAACAAAAGGGAAGGTGATCGAACGACCACCTTACTATAAACTAAACTACTGACCGAACGTTCTACAGTTCGGTCTTAACTTCAACCTCAACTAGATTTTCTTCCTCCAGCGCCTCTTCCAGCAACTCGTCTCCTTCTGCTCACATCCACACGGATGATCATTACAATGACAAAGACGAACGTACAAAACAAGACAAGACAGGAAACACACGGTAAGCTTATGTAATTTAATTCAGGTATAAACATACATTTCACACAATCAAACACGCAAGATATATTTCATCATACGTTTCATACCAAGCCGTAATACTTATACTGACTGTATCCGGACTGTACGAAATTTGTGTAGCTACAGGCGTTCGTTGCACCCGGGTGATGTAGTAAACTGGGGATACCCTCAACAAGCTTCAACCGAGGTTAGTCCATCTGTCCACATTAACAATAAGAACTGGACCATCCTGTCGTTCCCCACATGACCTACCCTCCTCTACATGAGGACGAGTACTCATGGAACATCAGGATGAACCGCCAGCTTAGCATGACCATATTCATACTTTACCAATTCCAATATTCATCCATGAGTCATTCCTCCCCGGAACGGCTCGTTCATAATCCAAAACATTTCATCCATATCATATTCTCTTCATCTTTCATTATCAATCATCTCAATTTCATCTTTCATTATCAACGCAACGCCCGCTTTTCATCGTTCATTATCCATCATTTCAATTTATCTTGTACAAAAATGATTAACGACACAGAATCGAACGTTCAATCCAACTCAGAACGAGAACGAACACTTGTAAGAGACAGGGGGGGGGGGGGGGGGGGGGGTGGGGGGGGGGGGTGGGGGGGGGGGGGGGGGGGGGGGGGGGGGGGGGGGGGGGGGGGGGGGGGGGGGGGGGGGGGGGGGGGGGGGGGGGGGGGGGGGGGGGGGGGGGGGGGAGGGGGGGGGGGGGGGGGGGGGGGGGGGGGGGGGGGGGGGGGGGGGGGGGGGGGGGGGGGGGTGGGGGGGGGGGGAGAAGGGGGGGGGGGGTGGGGGGGGGGGTGGGGGGGTGGGGGGGGGGGGGGGGGGGGGGGGGGGGGGGGGGGGGGGGGTGGGGGGGGGGGGGGGGGGGGGGGGGGGGGGGGGGGGGGGGGGGGGGGGGTGGGGGGGGGGGGGGGGGGGGGGGGGGGGGGGGGGGGGGGGGGGGGGGGGGGGGGGGGGGGGGGGGGGTGGGGGGGGGGGGGGGGGGGGGGGGGGGGGGGGGGGGGGGGGGGGGGGGGGGGGGGGGGGGGGGGGGGGGGGGGGGGGGGGGGGGGGGGGGGGGGGGGGGGGGGGGGGGGGGGGGGGGGGGGGGGGGGGGGGGGGGGGGGGGGGGGGGGGGGGGGGGGGGGGGTGGGGGGGGGGGGGGGGGGGGGTGGGGGGGGGCGGGGGGGGGGGGGGGGGGGGGGGGGGGGGGTGGGGGGGGGGGGGGGGGGGGGGGGGGGGGGGGGGGGGGGGGGGGGGGGCGCGGGGGAGAGGAGGTCTCAAGTTCCAGATAGATAAGACCGAGAGGTGTGGCAGTGGGTTGAGAAAGAAAGAGTACAACTATATATCACAATAACGACTAGAACGAACGTTACTTACAAAGTGAGCCAATTAGATGAACTGACTCTTAAGAGCCCCAACCGAACGCTGAAAAGACCATGCCAAGTACTAATACTATAGGCCGGAACCAATCCATACAGACACTTCAAGACATTCCAATAATAATACTGATAGGCTGTCGTTGAAGCTATCAAATTAATACTACTTTCAAGGCAACTTCAGATTGCCAAGTAGTATTCAAGAAGGTAGATAGGGCTAAAGTAACCCTGAGTCGTCTCCCAACGAACCGAAATGATTTGAATGTCTGACTCTTACAATGCTATGCAATGCCTTATGGATTTAAAAGTAATGTTTTGGAGAATGTTTAAAGAAACAAATAAGAAACTCCAAAACAGTTACGATGAAATAGGCTAATTCCACTGCTTTTCCAAGATAGATTCATCATCGGTTATTCACGGATAATTGTTCAATTGATTATGGTTTAAGTTTCAAATTAATTAAAGTACATTCTTAATTAATTTGAGGGCGATCATGCATTTAACCAAAGTAAATTCTCAATCAAATGCAAAACCTTTCTAGGTTATTCACATAAATCAACCAAAGTACATCTCAATCAAATGTCTAATTGTGTTTAATCATGTCTGTCTAAATCTCCTAACCAAATTAAAGCTAATCAATCAAAGTAATTATCAATTATTATAGTTGAAATTAGTTACTAACAACATCAAAAAGTACATTCTCTTTTTAATTGATAGTACCCAAACCATTTAATCATATGAAAGTTCCTAATTAATCAAAGGAGATTCTCAATTTTAAACCTTAGAAACACCTAAAATCATATAATTCAATATGAGTAGATTCAAACACATAGATGCAAAAATCTTTGCTTTTAACAAGATAGAGAGACGAAAGAAGTAGAGAGAACAAACTTAAATCAATAATCAAAGTGTTAAAACAATTGCATTAA